TTTGATGTAATTTCGAAAAATACCTACATATGGTCTAAATACACATATGGTCGTCACAATTTTAACAAAACATGTTTTGTCTAAAACCAGGAAAAAATATAATTATGTTTGTTTACAATGTATGCTAATTCTTTTGCACCGTTTTCTTAAAACGAACGTAACTCTACTACTAACCGTGTATTTAAAATAAACTATGCCCACTGATGATGCATTTAAAATAAAACACGCCTGCTGACCTAATATTAAATATACGCGGTTTCCAGATGTACGCTTTTAACCAATTATATTTCTAAATACCCATATGTTGGTTGACCATATGTGTATGGTAGGACCATTTGAATATACGCACATGAGGGGGTGATACGCTTTTGGGATGTGGGATATAGGGTGTAAACAAGTGAGAATGAGGGATATAGGGGCAAAAAAAGGTAGGATCTGAGAAAAGGAAAGCAAAAAGTAGAAAATGGGAAAAAATACAAATAAGCGGGATTTAAGAACCACCGAGTCAGTTCTGCTCTTATTATTGCAACACATAATGGTTAGTTCTATGTTGACAATATAATAATTCCATAGTACCAATGATTTGTATAGCAAGTCTTTTACAAAATTGTGGTATGGATTACATTATAAACATTGTAGTAATTTTACAAAAGATAGGTTTTCTTTTGTTTACTAATGTGAGTGAAAGTATATGAATATGTACATATTGTTACACTAGTTGGAAGTCATAACAGTAGTTGGAAGTTATAAAATAATTATAACATTATAACTTAATATTGTGTTAGCTGTTTATATTCAAAATCGTTTTTACATAGATATATTACTAATTAACAATCATGTCATACTCACCAGCAAACCCTATAAAATGGACACGCTACAAATGGCGACAGCAGTGGAATGGCTAAATTGAAAATGAAGTTTGGAAACTAGTGTGCAAGTGCAGTTTATTTAAACGAAAATTTTATATGAAATAAAAGACGACATGAATTCAAATAGAACCAATTATGAAACATATCCAATGGATTTCACTAATGTTGGAACACGTGATCCAAGACGAACATTATTATTCTTCCAAAAAGATAATGAAGGAAATGTGCATCCTCAACAGAAGACTCGTGGCAATTTTCAGCCAGAAGAGCGGAACAACGTGTGGTCGGAACCCCGTTTCGGTGGTCCGACGATTCCCGTGACAAGAAAGTTAACACCGTCAGGTACTAACCGGTGTTTAGACTCAAACTTCCCCGATGAATTGTAAGATGAACACTTAGTTGCTAGTAGTCCAAGTTCCGTGGTGTATAATTTAAAAACTAATAGTGTTCGTAATTGATGTTGTTGGAAAAGATTAATTCTTGGATGGACTTGGTTAGTTTTAATTGTTTCGCTAGCATTTATGGGATTTGCTTTCACATTTCCATATCACGATCTTGTTGCACCTTGATTCTACTAACTCGGACACTGATAACATTGTTAATTTCACTGATCTTCAAAATCCTGATGGACGGGACGTCCACATGTGTTAATACACGGAAAAAATCATGTGGAAGAGTTTCAGGAATCAAATCGGGTACGTCAAAAATTGAACTTAAAAAATCATGTAAGCATTTGCACGATAGAACACATGCAACCCGGGACTGTTGAATTAATCCCGACATTTACACAACCTAGAAGTTATCAAACCCAAGCAAAGCGAAAATTTGGTGGTAAAGGGAAAGACATTACGGCAGATTGTCTGTGTTATTTTGAAAACATTTCGAAATAAAATAATTGGAATGTTGACAGGAAACGACTGGTGTTCATGACAACGCTAAGAGACCAAGCAGAGACATTCATGTACAAACATGATATTTTAATCAATAATAAAGAATAACGATTTGGACATTCTTACATGAAAGAAAGTTATCTCATTAAAGTGAGGTTGAGATTAACACCAGGAGAATATTTCATTATTTGGGGCAAGCAATAGAAGATTTGTATACTAGTAGACGTGAATATCCTTCTAACCAAAATGTTGTGCAGGAAAACAGTATTCGAACATTTCTTGATGCTTGTGGTGAATCTGAAGATTTTAGCATGGTCATACGACGTACTAAGGAAATGACACTCCAGGAGGCAGTGCCAAGTGCAGTGCAGGAAGAATGCATACGCATGAACGAAATGCTAGTAAGATGGTTCGTAGAAATGTTTACGAAGATGTGTCGTAGGAGTGTTTACGAAGATGTGTCGATGTGTCCTAAATGTGTTAGGAACTGCAGGTCTTTTAATGAATTTTGTGTCCATTTTCCTATAATTGTTAGATGGGTGAAATCAAATTTGTTAGGGGAAGACTGTATAAAGTGTTTCATTGCCATTGGGGTTGGAATACTTCTTTTTTAAATAGATATATGTACAAGAAAACAATAAAAACATACCGTTTCAGGAAAACAGTATAGACACTCGATCAAGTAAAGTAATTGCTTTTTTGATAATAATGGTACCTGCTATACATGAATAGTAGTAAAATCAGGACTGACAAGAAAGGTAGGATATATTTCATTGAATATGTATGGTGTTCTGTCTCCTGGTAGCAGTTTTACGAAGAAGAAAAAATGGACAAGCGCTAGCAAGAGTTCTTGTGAATGCATCTAAGGGAATAATGTATGCTAGATTATTTAATGCAACCAATACAGATATAGTACTGTATATTGGAACACATACGGCTTTGTTTGATCCAGTTGTGGATATCGGTGTCAATGTTGAGGAAGATATTGCTAATGTTGACGTTTGTCACATTGACGCGAAAAGATACAATATTGACGCATAGTTACCTCAATATATAGACTAGTTGTTTCTTGGTGGAAAGAAGTTATTAACACAAGAGAGCGATCAATTTTTGAAGGTGTTAATGCAATACCAAGCGGTATATGCAAATCATAATGGAAAACTGGAAAAACTTTTTCAGGGATGTATTCCATAAAATTACATGATGAAACACAAATCAAAGAACCACCGAGAAGAGTACTATTATTCAAGAGGCATATTTGGAAAAATGAAATAGAGAATTTCAAGATGAAAAGTATCCTAGAAAACATGTAGTCCATGGTTCGCTCCCATTGTCTTAGTACATGGTGGCTATGTGTGGATTACCGGAAATTAAATGAAATGACCATAAAAGATGAGTATCCGATACCAAGGATTGAAGATAACTTGGATACTTTGTGCGGATCTCATCAATGGACTTTGATTTGGCTCATCTTCGAATACCGATGAAACCAAGGAAAAGAGTGCGTTTCCAACCCCAAAATAGTGGACTTCAGTGGAACATTTCAGTGGTATATCTTGACGATATTATTGTTTATGGGAAATCATTTGCAAGACCTTTGTAAAATTATGGAGACTTAAAACTGCTGAACTGATACTGAAACAGACGAGCTTTGTATACTTTCGTCATGAAGTACAATATTTAGGACACACAGTTTAAAGAGATGATATACGAACGAATGAAAGAAATTTGAAGCTGTTGCCAAGATGGCATCTCCGTAAAATAGGAAAGACTTTAGATCATTCTTAGGTTCGGTTTCGTATTACAGGAAATTCATTAAAAACTTTTCGTCTACAACTAAAACTTGATAAATCGAATGTTAATGGAATTGGACAGAAGAATGTAGTAAATCCGTTGAAATTTTAAAGAATACATTGTCATCATATTTTATTAATAAAATTTGGAATAGAAATTTCAAGTGCTAGGTTAGGTTTCGAAAATATCGCATTTATCCTTGTGTGTGGATACATCCCAGTGTCTACTAAGAACGATATTATCGGGAACCGCCAAGGCACCGTCAAGAGAAAAGTATATAAAAGAATGTGAGAGTGTGAGACATAGTTTTTCTTTTTTTTAATAAAAGAGATAGTTTTTCAGTAATAAAAAGGTACATTGGTTGGTATTATATAAATATACACTCATGTGTGAGATGTATAAAAACACCAAAATGTGTGTGATGTATAAATATACAGACATGTGTAAGCAGAATGTGTATGTTAAATCTAATGACCCATGTTTGGAGAGTGCCACATTGTGTATGTTACAAAATCCTTGCAACAATTCGCTGAACATGTATTTAAATTAATGTATTATGAATGTGAATAGGTAGGAGACAACGGATGTTAAGCAAACGCAAGATCATTTCGCCAATCACTGTTATTCTCTTTTAAATAATAAAATATGATATTTGTTTAGCTATCTGACCTCTTTCTCTCTAATAACCTGTCCCATACTAAATAACAACATGTTAAAGAATCGTTCTGTTTGGGAAATACTATATATGGTCATACAGGTACTGTAAATGGTCTAAAGAATTGACATTTACTGAGTTTAGACTGGCACATTTCATGCTGTTTTAAACATTTTCTAGGTTCAAAAAATACTTAAACTGAATTCCCAATTTTAACATTCATAAGGGCTTGAACCACTTTTCCCCAGTCATTAATAGGTAAGTGCTTCAAAGCAGATTGACAAAGATAAAGGGTGGTAAATTTGAACTGCATTGGTAATTGATGATACTTTCAGCTAGAAGGAAAAAGTTAAATAATAAAATAAACTGTTGACATAGAGATATGTCCCCATGCATGTTATTTTGATAGTGAAATGCAAATGTTGAAATTAACATGGAAATACATGTACTTCAACATTTAAATTAAGCAAAAGTTTAAAAGTCAATAGACCATAATTGAGAGGCCAGGTCCAAATATTCTCCATGGAAATGAGATATGCCAATGATAAAATAACAGCATACCAAATCATTGACTTACAATTACTGGTTACCCTTAAACTGACCTAATCACAAACTTAAACAAATTGTTGACTCAGCCGAAAAAATATGCCAAAGTCTTGCCTTTGTGACTTCGTTGAAACGATGAATATACCAGCTGACTTGATTGTAGGGTTGGAAAACTCAACTGTCAGATGGACAAGGGAAGTCAGGACTTTGTTTCTCACAGAGAGAGGTGAACATCAATAAAACACAGTCTTTTAAATCCTTTTTATTATTTTTCTGTCTTCTGTGAAATTTGACAAAATGATATTCTTTCTACATATATAAATGTATACATTAATGAATTGTTGACATGAGGATAGTATAACACAATTGATTAACTCAAAAGAACACATTATTTCCAACTTTTCTAGATACCATATGCATCAGATCAACTTTCAGTGTCAGAACTTTAAATGATTCATATTCAAAACATCAAAAGTCACATTATCTTTCAAATGAAAGTCACAAATTCAAAGTTTAATTCATCTTAAAACAATGATCCATACAGAAATAAGAACAGTATTATAGTACAAGTAAAAGGAAACGTACAGCCCAAGAAATTTTTTCCCCCAAAAAAGACAATGCATGATACTACAAATCACATTGTATGCTAACAACAATGGTAATCAATTCATTTACTGTAGTTCACAACGATACCCAATTCATTGACTTCTTTCAGTGAGGATATAATCTTCACTAAAAGTAATTACTACATATTATAGTTAAATTGAGTGCACTCTTACATCTACAAGTTAATTTCTCTTTTCTCGCAAACCCAGAGCATCAAATGCTGGACATAAGAGCAGTCAGAAATTTTATCATTATGAAGAGAATATAGTCCAAATAGTGAAATCTAACTTCATCAATTTTTTACCTGCTTTTGTACTTTATTTCTGGCATATCAAAATTTCCACTCATATGATATAAAGTTTCTGAAATACAAGTACCAAATGCTATTTCGTTTTTTTATAGTAAATCTTAAAAGTTGTGAAAACCCAAAGGAAAGAGCTAGACATTTCATAAAGGAATATTTTATCTATTACTTATTTTTCTCCTCCATAGTAATGGAATAATGTATTTCAGTTTGTTTGCTAGTGAAATTATTTGTCAACACATCCAATTGTTTTGCAAACGTCATTGTGTCAACCAATGCAAAATTAAGGTCAGATATAATGTGAAGTTCTCAAACTCTAAATTTAGTGTACAAATACATTACAAAACACTGACATTCTGCTCAAATGGATGTAACCGATTTTTCTAGAAAATTAAACAAGGTAACAAATCTATTACAAAAAAAAATGTATTTATATATGTTTGAACCTTTCTTTGACCCTACCAGGACTTTTTCTATGCAATGAAAATAGTCAAAATACTCAAAATCTTTACACAAATTTGTATCCTTATTGTGAACATTGTGCAGATACTTAAGTATTAGATATTTGAATAAAAGTTTCACTGTTTTGTAACAACTCTGAATGAACAAACATGACTGAGGTAATAATCATGTATTTGCCTTACAGAGTTTTCCAGATAAGTCAAGTAAACCAGAAACAAACTCTTTTTATTTTTCTTGTCACATCCAGGAACAGAGATCATAAATACTTTGTCAGGTACTCAGCTTAACATTCAGGGTCTATTTGTTTATATAATACTTTCTAAAATATAAAGATTCATACAAAGAGCTAATGCCGCTGTTGCCAGATTTGCACTTATAGGTATTGTATTTTGTTAATGGGGAGACAAAAAATTATTCATTGTAACATGTCCTCAGGATGGATGTAATCAGTAGATCAATCATGGTACATGTATATAATAATACATCCTATTTTAATGGCAAATGGAAACTTTTTAAACCAGCCAATTAAATTGAGTTTTGAGCCTAGTGGTCAAATTAACCAGTTTGGATGGAAACCAGAATACAAAATGCCAATGTCATTCATAAATAAACATTTCAGCAATCGGGTAACCTTCTATAGCTGTTTGTACATTTGAAGTTGGCATCAAATCTGATATATTTAACCAAAAAGTTATATCTAAATTCATTTTACTTTGTAAGCCACTTCAATGTAGTTTTATATGGAAATTCTGTGAATATCAGTTAGTCTATCATGTAAAAAAACAAGGTTCATGCAATATTGAATAAACACATTGTTACAATCTAACATTAATTGGATGGATAAATCACACTTCTCCGATATATATCAGATTTGTTGCATCATTTTGACAAGACCACAAACATAAATATATGAGTAGAGTGAAACCTCTTATTTTATGTCAGTACTAATAAATACAGACAATATAATTGTTTGCTAACAGTATTTACTTTCTGAATGGATGTAACTACATTTAAATACATTAAAACAATAAAATCTCTTATTTTATACGTTTCTGTTGTCGACTTCTATAAATGTCATGTAAAGGTGGCGCTGTTTCTGAGTTTTCATCATCACTATCTTCTCCTTCTGTTATCCTTCGTTTTCTGCCAAGTGCAATGTCAATTGAGTACTGAGTACCAGAATCTGGTCTGAGAAGTCCTTCAACTCCATTTTCTATAATGATTGGAGCTGTCAAAAAAAGAAAATATTTAAATGTACTTCTTACATACAAGTGGTATATCAGAGTAGAGAAAAATAGCAAATCAGACAATACTAACATTTACTTCCCCAGTACTTTATTTTAGTTTTTTCTGCTTTTAAAATACTGCAGGACAGCATTCTTGCACTTTCAAAATCTTTGCATTATATCAACACACAATGTTAAGCACAATCTTTGAAGGTAGACTTGCAATATGCCACATATATGGCATGGAATAATTTTCAACCAATTTCCTTTTCATAAATCTTGGTCTTTTTATGAAACTTTTTTCAGTCTCTAAATTTTTGTGGAATTAGACTAACTTCTGTGAAAGTGCAATTATAAGACGATGATGAAAATGAATTGGTGCTCAACATCAAGTGGCAAATATTACATGCATATTTGGTTTAGAACATATTGATGCAATAGGAATAAATTTTATGCACCCTGCATTGCACTAGATATACATGCTGAGCCAGATTTTTAGCATGCTATTTCACAAGCTAATAGTCCACAGGAAGATATGTCATCCTGCCAGGACACATTGTTCTGACTATCAGCCTTCGCTCTTACTCCTAAATACTGCATGCGAAGTGGAGAAGCAGCAAAAACCAATTTTCAAGTCTTTGGTTTGACCCTGCCAGGTTCAGTGATCAAACCTTTGGCTTTCAAACTTGAGCATTCTACAACAAGAACACTGAGGCGTTGTCATGATAAAAGGAAGGAAAGTGAACAATGGGCCTAAGGATTTGACACATAATATCTTCATGTAAAAAATTGAAGTATTTGTTTATTCATTAATAAAACTAGAGGCTCTCAAGAGCCTGTGTCGCTCACCTGACTCTACTTTGGTTTTAGATATCATGTAAAGATAGATAAAAATCATAACAGATACCAAAATAATGATTGAGGCCAAATTTGGTTTAATATTGGTCCCGTTATTTAATAAAATATCCTGGTGGCCATCTCGAACAGTAAATTAGCAACAAAGAAGCAACACTTGGTCAGCACCTCATAAGGAGCATTCATGCCATGTTTGGTTTCATTCCATTCAGTGGTACTCTAAAAGAAGACATTTGTATGTATTTCCCATAGAGTCCTATGTTAAACTTAGTCCCCCTCTGGCAGCAATCTTGGATGATGGATTGCCTGCAAAGAAACAACACTTGGTCAGCACCTCATGAGGAACATTCATGCCATGTTTGGTTTCATTCCATTCAGTTGTTCTCTAAAAGAAGACATTTGTAAGTATTTCCCATAGGGTCCTATGTTAAACTAAGTCACCCACTGGCTGCCATCTTGGATGATGGATTGGTTGCAAAGTAACAACACTTAGTCGGCACCTCATAAGGAACATTCATGCCATATTTGGTTTCATTCCATTCAGTGCTTCTCTAAAAGAAGACATTTGTATGTATTTCCCATTGGGTCCTATGTTAAACTAAGTCATCCGCTGGCGGCCATCTTGGATGATGGACCGACTGCAAAGTAACAACACTTGGTCAGCACCTCATAAGGAACATTCATGCCATGTTTTGTTTCATTTCATTCAGTTTTTCTCTAGAAGAAGACTTTTGTATGCATTTCCCATAGGGTCCTACGTTAAACTAAGTCCCCCACTGGCGGCCATCTTGGATGATGAATCGGCTTCAAAGTAACAACAATGGTTAGCACCTCATAAGGAACATTCATGCCATGTTTTGTTTCATTCCATTCAGTGGTTCTCTAAAAGAAGACATTTGTATGTATTTCCCATAGGGTCCTATGTTAAACTAAGTCCCCTGCTGGTGGCCATTTTGGAATATGGATCGGCTTTAAAGTAACAACACTTGGTCAGCACCTCATAAGGAACATTCGTGCCATATTTGGTTTCATTCCATTCAGTGGTTCTCTAAAAGAAGACATTTGTATGTATTTCCCATAGGGTCCTATGTTAAACTAAGTCCCCTGCTGGCGGCCATCTTGGATGATGGATCGGCTTCAAAGTAACAACACTTGGTCAGAACCTCATAAGGAGCATTCATGCAATATTTGGTTTCATTCCATTCACTGGTTCTCTAAAAGAAGACATTTGTATGTATTTCCCATAGGGTCCTATGTTAAACCAAGTCCCACGCTGGCGGCCATCTTGGATGATGGATCGGCTTCAAAGTAACAACACTTGGTCAGCACCTCATAAGGAACATTCATGCCATGTTTGGTTTCATTCCATTCAGTGGTTCTCTAGAAGAAGTTCAAAATGTAAAAAGTTAACGACGACGACGGCTGCTAAGTGATGAGAAAAGCTCACTTGGCCCTTTGGGCCAGGTGAGCTAAAAAATAATGTGATGTCACTGTGACAGCATAAACATGTTGACCAACTAGAGGATAGTAAGGGGAGTCGTCATAGAGTTGCCTGTCGCTTGTAAATAAGTAAATTGTGATGCAATTTTAGAAGTAGCAAAGAAATAAAATATGCAACATAGCATCTGTCCACCAACAAAAGATTGGCAAAACCAAGTTATACTGCATAGTTTTATTATGATCCGTTAGTAATAGCTCCAATGTTGAGCAAATAATTCATACATCATTCATTATTCTTCACCAGTATTTACTTTTATTCACCCCAACCCCCCTGTAGCACAAAATGTTTTTTTAATTCTCCTCAACCCTCAATTTTTGGCAATGAATAGCTTTCACTAAGATATTGATATCTTGTGATATTACCCCACAGAATTTTGAATCAAGGCTGCGATTTTTTGCAAGTAGGTTGGCACCTGTTTTATTTGCATACAGCAGAATACAATGATGACTTATATAGATGAGGCAATACTTGTAAATATATGCAGGATATCAGGGTCATATGCATAACTTTACAACCACATTTCTATTCTCACAAAAGGAAATAACACAGTGGTGCGTCAACTTGTTCATAGTCAAAGTATGTACCAGAAAATGGAGGGTTTAGGGGAAAAAAGCTTTAGTTTTTGCAACTAGGGGATAGATAGTGAAATAAAGGTAAATATTGGTTGAGAAAAATGAATGAGGAAGCCAATGATGTATTTTAATCTGCCGGATAATGAATCTTTTATGATTTTTAAACAGAAACTTGCCACCACAATTCTGGGTCGGCAATTTTCATGTTTTCTATATGGACATGATGGACTTAGCTAAGTTACCAAAATGGCAATCAGACTTTAGAGCAATATCAGACTTCTCAAACATGAGCAAAGATGGCACATACTTTCCTCTGAACTTAATAAGGAAATATATTTTCATATTTTTTTTATCTCTGAAACTACATCAATGATCTGAACCTAACCTGCAAAAAACAAGGAAGTTTTACACAACATCCTGCAAAGTAAGCCCTGCTCATAGATTAAAACAAAAAATTCCATGCTCAGATGATATAACAAACTGAAAATGATTGCCTAGCAGATCTGAAAATCTCTTGCATGGTAAAACTCAAAATTACAGTTTCAGACTATATGAAAATCCCTCCTTAATACAGAAAATAAATAACACATGACGTTGGTACAGGTAAACCATGAGTTTAAATGTTCAACGAAGTTCAAATTTTCTAAAGGCTTGTATGCAAACATTGCCTAAACCAAGAAATCAAATATCCACGAAAATACAAGTTCCTCATTGTAAACAGCTTTAGTGCAAAAAATCTATTATCAAGTGTTAAAACAAAGAAACAAAAAAATTTTCCTCGTTCAGGGAAAATTAGTATCCACGAAAATAAATTAATCCACAGTAGTATTCATTTATGAAAACTTATGGTCCTACATCCTGTTATGTTCTTATATTTTGGCATTGAATATGATCATGCTTTTTCTCCGACTGTTTATGATGTCTTTACTAAATCTGTTGGATGTGTACTGGTTGATACTTTAGTCTGGGAGAGCATGATTTATTTATTAGTTGTTAATGGCTTTGAATTACCTTTCAGTAATTGTGAGTACTCTTAGATCAATACTTTGTGTCATTTATCCTTATGTTTTTTTGTGATTTGTGCTGATCTGACTAGACAAGCCATTTTCAACAGATTTTTAGTTTGTTCTTCGAATGTTGTGCTGTTACACCACTGCCCTAAGTAAGGGGAGGGTATAGCTCCCATAGACATGTTTAACTCCACCACATTCTATATATGTGACAAAGGAAAGATACGAATAGACATGTTTAACTCCACCACATTCTATATATGTGACAAAGGAAAGACACGTATAGACAAACAAACAGAAGAACAGACAAATAGACAGATGAGGAGACAGACAAGGTCATTGCAATATACCACCCCCTTTGTGAGTGGGGTATAAATACATAGGTAAACCAGTATACTTCAAGTTATTCAAGTGGGGTACATATCAGTTTTTTTAAATAAAAGGTTACACTGTTTTAAATTATCTTTATTGTTCATTAATCATTACTGTATACATAATTTAAAAGCAGTGTAAGGGAGATAATTTCAATGATGTATTTGATTTATCTCCCTTACACTGCTTTAAATTATGTTTTGTACTAAAGTATTTGTCCATTAACCAGGACAACCTTGTTTTTCCCCCTTTTTTGCCCCTAATTCCTAAACGGTTTGAGCCATAACCCCCCAAAGCAAATCCTAACCATCCCTTTGTGGTATGGAAACTTGTAGTATAATTTCAGAGAGATCCATACACTGTTCCACAGTTATTGTCTGGAAACTAGAAAATGCTTATTTTTGGCCCCTTTTTGGCCCCTAATTCCTTAACTGTTGGTACCATAACCCCCAAAATCAATCCCAACCTTCCTTTTGTGGTATTTAACCTTATGGTAAAATTTCAAAAAGATCCATTCACTTAAACTAAAATTAGAGTGCGAAAACCAATGTGTCTTCGGACGACGACGACGAGGCCGGAGACGACGACGCCAACGTCATACCAATATACGACCACAAAATTTTTTTGCGGTCGTATAAAAATCAAAAAAGAATTATAAGTATATAAAATAACATCTATATATTTTAATCTGTTAGAAATCAGTATTTGTATTTTTGAAAATGTTCTTACTTATTTGCTTTAGGCTTTAAAACTTCTTGCATTTAATGAAAAACTGCCATTAATAGCCTCTTTTTGAGACCTTGTCTTTAATATTTTTAGACATGAGCAACACCCTTGCCCAATAAAACGTTTTGCGACTAATATCTATACTTACATGAGATGGGAGCGAAATATCATTTTGGGTAAGGCTATTGTTCATATTTAGATTTACCAACAACTAGGCATAAATAACCAAAAATGTCTATTTTGACATGTCCATGACATTTCTGACCAGATTATATCATCTTAGTCATTTTCAAAAAAATTGACATAACTCTACAAGGTGTTAATTTTCTTATCAAATTTCAAGGAAAAAAAGGCACTTTTGTCAGACCTCCTATGTTTTTATAGTGTTACTTTTAGAATGTGAGAAATAGATTTTAAACTATACCTTCTGGTAGAGTCAGATTCTTCATATGTTCTATAAATTTATCCATTAAAACAAATGGTCCCTGTAAAAAAAAATGTTCATGAAAAAATTCCTCAGTAGTCATATATAGTTACAGTATCAACACATAAAGTATAATTATTTTGATCTTGACTTGAAATTAGCCACTGTTTTCACTGAAGATTTATTTATTGAGAGATGAGCAGCAATGGTAAGAGTTCAATATAGGTGGGAAAATATTAAAAACAGCTGATCTTAGGACACACTTCCTCAAGTGCTTCACATCCTTTTACCAAATATGACTATTATCAAATTTAACCCATTTCGGGCTTGTCTCAAAACAGGAATGCTTACCCTTCTGTAGTGCCTGATGCCACTGCATTTTTTTTAAAACAGTATTTTGTATTGCCAAAACGATTAGTAGATTTAAATGTTTTACGTTTTTTATTCGTCTTCCGTCATGATCTAGGTTAACGCCTGTCTTGTTACTTTTAATTAGTATTGTTTGTATACTGTTCTCTAGATTAAGATTGCTTTCTGTGAAGTTTACACTTACATGGAAACATTCTGGAGGTGGTAACACTGTCATAAGGCTACCAGCTGCTGGAGGTGGAGGGAATTCTCCACCAGAGACAGGATGGGAACCAGGCACTGAAACAGAAATGGGTACAAGTAACATCACAACGGAAAATTTCTAAAGAAAATTCAATGTAGCTTTTTCATATACTTTAAAACACGCTATGAAAAAAACCAGATTTCACCAATGCAAACTGAATTTCCCATATTAATTAATCTTTTGCCTAATCCATTTTTCTTTGATTTACTCAACAGGTAGCTTTAATCATTATTAATGTAAATGGCTATAGTTTTTATTTTAGACTGTAAAAACATTGATAAGAATTCAAATAAAGTCTTACAAACAACAGCCTTTGGTTTAAATGGCAACATCTGTTCTATGTCAGGCTTTGGGTACTCTGGTTGTCTTTTATTATCCTCCTCAATCATTACAGCCTTAGTCACAGAGCTGGATGGAGCCTGAACTACCTGTTGTTTAACTAGATCCTGAAAGTATATACATATTATACCTATAGTGACAACTTAGAACTGGATGGAGCCTGAAGTACTTGCTGTTTGAGTAGATCATGCACATACAAGTATATAAAAGCAATAATATGTGTTCAAATTTAAGATATTGATTGGAAATCTCAAATGAATTTTACGGTTTTTTACACAACACAGTAACTACAAACAAAAAATTCGAAGAAGTCACACCTCCCTTTATATGTGTTAAATAGTCCTTTACATTGAATATTTCTGAATGTTATTTCACTTGAATCAGCCTATCTTATGTTATGGAAAAAAAACTAAACTAGGCTATTTTCCTCCTAATAAATTGGCATAATAATGAGGGACAATAACACGAAAAAACATAAAGATTGGTCTAAAATCATCATTTAACACCAACAAGGAGATCATGTGAAGGTTTTAGTAATATTGGCATTTTTGTAGATCTTGCAATGCTGATAGTTTTTGCTGTTAAATTTTCATTATATCTATTATAATTTTCCAGATCATTTGGAAAATATGAACATTGATAAATGAAAATCATCATTTAAGGGCAATATCTTCTATAATGAGTTGTCTGATAATTTTCATGTGAAATGGAAAGTAAGTACATCTCGACAGATTTTCTCTATCTAATATGATTTTCAAGATATTAGACATTTACTTGCATTTTACTAGATACTCTATAGGATCATTCAGTCTATGTTAGGTTGAAATTGAACCAGTGGGAGAGAACATTTTGTTTTAAAGTTTACTATGACAACAACAATGGACCCCAAGTGATGGTATTAGCTTACATGGCCCAAAGTGAGCGGAAAGCTACACAAATATTTCAATTATAAGAAAAATTGCCACATATTTCATTTACCTAGCAAAACTATTGGCAAATGGGATAATTTAAAGTAAAGAACATAATAACAATTTTCTTTCATTGCAGAGTTAATTTACAAAGTTACGCCAACTTCATATTTAAAAAGATAATTGAAGAATGGAACAGACAATTATAAGTACAAAGAACAAGATCTGAAGTATGGATACTTACATAATAGCCAATAGCTTTTAATTCTGTCTGTGTACAAGGATACAAATCTATGTATTTATATCTATCTATCAACAGAGCTGTGTCTTTGTCTTCAAATTCTTGAACCTGGAATTCATTAAACAGACATATTTACTAACAGAAATATTCATGTCTGTTGGCTCTTAGGGTTCTGATGAAAATCCGTCCAGAAAAGCAATAAAGGTATTTTCTTTTTTGATTAATTACAATTTTTTTAAATCTCTTTTTTACTTTAATTACTATTCAATTCTGATTTATACATGTCATTTAACTCCTGGAACAAAACAATTAATGATTTGATTCAAAGTAATTTCAATTATATTGTTCAACATACCTTTTCTATTGCCTGCGCTCTTCTCTTTTCTACTTTCTGTATACAGGCTAAATCTCCAACTTCAGATTCAAAGGCCAGAAATCTACTCCATATTTCTCTGAAAACAAAAATAAGTTTACAAAACATGGAACACAGTATGTGAATCAAACGAACAGTTACTCTGTGAATTTATCAAAAATTGATTTACAACTATATAGTACCATACATCTAAGTTTGTATTACCAAGTGAGAAGGTGCTGGACATAAACCAATTAACAATCAATTATTCAAGTGAGAATTTTTTTCCTATTTTCTCATACTTACATAGATTTTTCAGGAAGTATTTGTCCAGAAGATAATACCCGCTCATACAGTACTCTTGTGTTATTATCCTCTGAAAGAAAAAAAATCAACATTTAAGTTAATAGTAATACAACATGTAGTTAAAAATAGACATACAAAAAAAATTCTTCTGCCTCCTTATCAACATCAACTATTTAAGAAAAGAGACTGTTTCTCACATTTCTTTGAATCATATAAACATATTACAGTACCCAAACCTTTTTATTGTACAAACTCTAGTAATGTTAGCTTTGTTAATTTGAAATAACTGTAACATGCAGAAAGATATCTCATTTAATATTTCCTTTTAATAAATATTCTGTAACTGGAGTAAAATGTAAATTTCAAAAAACCTAAGTCTATAACATACAATCTGACTTCCTTAGTAAAAGTGAACGGAAATAGAAATCATAAATCTGCAAATAAACGAGCTTTTGAGGAATATGTACTCTAATACGTAATCATAGCATTTTGTCTGACTTACCGTTCAAATGTGACATAAAATCCATGTAACAAAGAGCGTATTCAGGATGTCCTCCGTATTTTTTCAATCCGAGTTCAAAAATCTTCAGGGCCACGTTTTTCTCCTGTTAGGTTTGAATAACAATATTTTAAGAAGTTTTATTAATAAGTTTATTGAAATAACATATTTCATCAACATAGACAAGACAAGAAGATGTGCTGACACAGCACATATCCCCCAACCCCATCAAACATTCTACAGGCTGTAACACAGTGAAATGAGGAACTGGAACAAAATGAAGAGTTGTTTATGTGACTCACAATGTAAACTTGTCATGTAACTTATAATTGTACCAGTACATACATGTACATAATAATCTGTCAACAGCTGAGGTGTAAGAAAAATGTCTAAACAACTGTTCATTTCTAAATGATGCATGGTGAAACAAGGGACAAGGCTAACCACTTAAATTCAGGGTAATTTTAACAACACAAATAGACAAGAAGAACTTTAAATCTAGGTGCCTCTGGCCTTTGTTAGTCTTGTATGTTTTTTTAATTTTAGTTCCTTTATATGTTTTTGGAGTTTAGTGTGACGTCCATTTTCACTGAACCAGCACACAATTTTATTTGAGGGCCAGCTGAGGACCACCTCAGGGTGCAGGATTTTCTCGCTGCGTTGAAGACCCATTGGTGGCCTTCGGCTGTTATCTGCTCTTTGGTCGGGTTGTTGTCTCTTTGACATATTCCCCATTTCCATTCTCAATTTTATCTTTGTAGTAACTAATATGAATGCACTATTGATCAGGTACCAGTAACAGTCAGAAATTCAGTTTGTCTTGAATATAGTTAATAGACAATCCAAGGAATGAAAGGTACTAAAAAATTATGTTTAGCACCATTCATTGAAACTTTAACTGCTTATTAGAAGCAAACAAGAATACATGTCCATAGGACACCATGCCCTGCTAGCACTATCACATTTCCATGTTCAGTGGACTGTGAAATCTGGGTCAAAACTCTAATTTGGCAGAATTTTTTGTAATTTTGGAATAAAACTGTAAATAATTAAACAAAATACCAAAGTCTGCCAATGATACTTTTATTTGGGATTAAATTATACATGTTCATATAGGCATAGATACCAAAGTCTGCCAATGATACTTTTATTTGGGATTAAATTATACATGTTCATATAGACATAGATACCAAAGTCTGCCAATGATACTTTTATTTGGGATTAAATTATACATGTTCATATAGACATAGATACCAAAGTCTGCCAATGATACTTTTATTTGGGATTAAATTATACATGTTCATATAGGCATAGATACCAAAGTCTGCCAATGATACTTTTATTTGGGATTAAATTATACATGTTCATATAGGCATAGATACCAAAGTCTGCCAATGATACTTTTATTTGGGATTAAATTATACATGTTCATATAGACATAGATACCAAAGTCTGCCAATGATACTTTTATTTGGGATTAAATTATACATGTTCATATAGACATAGATACCAAAGTCTGCCAATGATACTTTTATTTGGGATTAAATTATACATGTTCATATAGGTATAGATACCAAAGTCTGCCAATGATACTTTTATTTGGGATTAAATTATACATGTTCATATAGGCATAGATACCAAAGTCTGCCAATGATACTTTTATTTGGGATTAAATTATACATGTTCATATAGGCATAGATACCAAAGTCTGCCAATGTCTGCCAATGATACTTTTATTTGGGATTAAATTATACATGTTCATATAGGCATAGATACCAAAGTCTGCCAATGATACTTTTATTTGGGATTAAATTATACATGTTCATATAGGCATAGATACCAAAGTCTGCCAATGATACTTTTATTTGGGATTAAATTATACATGTTCATATAGACATAGACTTTCAATTTGTTCATAAACTATTCTTGCTTATATGCATTATACCAGTAGTTTTATAAAAAGTCATGATAACATATAACAATTCCAGAAGGAACATAGTTTAATCTAAAAGGAAACTATGAGTTCACTCTCCAATGAATTTTCAAATATGGCATGGTTCTAAAACAACATATATATATGCTATAATGAATCTTTTCCGGCAGTGTACTCCAACCTTTTGGAATAAATTCACAAGTGTAAAATTCCATGAAAACTTTTCCCTAGGGTTTTATTTCAATTAGAATAAACACGCTAGTGTTAAAAAAGATACACACTAGGACATTTCATGTCATGGAAATTATACAAACGGAAAAAAATGCATGCTTACAAATACAGGAGGTCTACAAAATCATGAGCTGCATGTGTAGGACTTAACAGTCAACATATTGCAATCAAAGTAAGTTTCTATTTAATGGGGATACATAAATCGTAATTTAAGTAGTTAATATACCAGAATTAAAAAAAAAAATGGGTACAAATCTCTAGTCTGAGCAGACAATTTATTTTCTCAAATAAATAAGAGTAAATGGATCTATTTCCTCAACATAATGTCCAATATCTAATCAACATTTCTACTGCTGCATTATCATAGCAATAACAACAACAATTTAATTATTTACTGCTGTCAATTGATGACTTGATTGCTGTCAGTAGGTTTTTACTAAATACTCAACCGCTACAAGTACACATTCATTTTAATAATCTAATCTTTCACTGACCTTGCTGCAGTAATATTCCATCAATGCTGCTGCCACATAAACTTGATATTTTGTTTTATTGTTTTCTCTCGCCATTTTGAATACAAGACGTGCTGACTTTATCCCTTCTGCTCTTCTGGCAAATTTCATATATTGTATATAGCCCTGAAAGAAATTTAGTTATTAATTTGTCAACATATAATTACACGGCCTAACATAAGTTCCCCTGGGAACTCTGTTTTAAACAATGATATAATATCTGTTCCAATTAGAACAAATATTCTATATCCATTATTTCGTAAGAAACAAATACTATAATATTTGTTCCAGTGGAAATAATATTACAGAATATTTCTTTCACTTGTAAATTATATTATGAAGGAAATTCTATTTCATGACAAAGTGCCCAAGGTTTATACGTGTATTTGAAAATCTATACAATTTTTTGTCTACTGGTTGACATTTGTTTCTACTTGGAAATATTTGATGCATAGTAAGGACAAGAGGAAATCAAACAAATCAATTAGGTAGGTTGATAAAAGGCAGGAAATGGGGTAGGGGCAGGAATTTGTTAAGAGTACAAATCTGTTATTTTGTTTGACAACACAATTCAAATCTAGAAGTAAAACAAAAGAACTGTTGTCCAAATACTTTTTTGTTTAAACGTAAAATTAACAGTTAATTGAAAGCAGTTAACAAACTAGTGGTACAGAGTTAAAATCAAATGTAAGGAAGCAGTCCATAGAGCAATGCCCAGCAATAGTCGTTTTCAGCAGTTAATGCAGAAATCATTTTTAAAAAAGATAATCAGTACCTTTATTCAATGAAAGCAAATATTTGTGTTTGAAATAAAGCAGCTACAGGCAAGAAAATGAGAGTATCAATTTTTACTGTTTTAGTTATAAGCAGTCAGCATCCCCTCTCTAGATCTGAATTTGACAGTTCATTACAATTTTGTTATTGGGTAACAAGCAGCTGATTTTCAAATAGCGATAAGGTCTATAAAGTCTTAAAAGAAATATACGCGTTAGATCCCATGAAATTGACTCTAGAAGGAAACCTTTAAAGTATCAAATGGACAATAATTTAGAATGGTATGATTATATTTCTGGAAATTAATTAGAATGTTGTCAATTTACAAACTGTATGGTGCAAACAGTCTGTAGGTCAAAATGACATGGCATCAATAGACATGGACACATGGTGACACATGGCATCCATAGACATGGACACATGGTGATAACAGCCTTTAAGGAAAAAAGGCATGAACTGCTAATTACCATAAAGAAGAACTTTCTTATATAGGGTATAATAATACGAGGGACAACTTTAAAAATTCTCAACCATAAGTACAATTACTACTTTCAAAAACAGCATGTTCCTGATTTATTATATTTCCACATATATTTCAAGAAGGTATGATGCAGTTGCTGAGAAAGTTGTGACAAAAATGTCATAAACCTGCATGACATTTTATAAGTTTTCAGCAAAGAGGAAGTAGAACATTGAAAGGTACAGAAAATGTGTCACATGGTATGGCATAGTCAGATGATGTCTGGACTGGTGTCTAGAAGTCATGACTTGTAGATGCAGACAGACAGACAGACAGACAGGCAGACAGATGTAAAATCAGTTTTCCCCTCCCTTTGGGAGATTGCTGATGAGACAACTATTCATCAAAGACCAAAACACTATGTAGCTGATTTTGGAACAGTCTGAGGCTGGAATTTTAATAAATATATAATGTATTTACCAAAGTGGGATCCGTATCCTGCATGGCAAGAAATCTTTTATAAATGGTGTGCACCTTTTCATACTTCATTCTTCCCTGTTAAAAAAAATAGGCATAAAAAGTTTAATTTGGAATAAAGTATTGCACAATATATGTACGTTAAATACTTACCCGGTATTTTTCCTTTCCTGAAATTGACTTTTTGAATTTCTTTTCTAATGAACACCCATTCTCAAATGTTGGCATCAATAAGTGTCCTTTGTGATACCTTGTTGTTTTGAAAGATCTTTGATAGTCTCTATTTAATTCATTTACTATTTTTCTAGACATGGGTGAATTATAGCTTGAAACGTTGCTCAGATACGCAAATTTTATTGAAGACTGTATGTTGACCTCTGTTCAGTTTTTTTTGTCTTTGGGTTGTTTTCTCAATGACCTATATACCCCAAATCTCCTGTTATTCATATGTGATTGAATTAAAAGGCGTATGGGCTTTGCTCATTGTTGAAGGCTGAGCGGTGACCTAAAGTTGTTAATTTCTGTGTCATTTGGTCTCTTGTGAAGAGTTGTCTCATTGGCAATCATACCACATCTTCTTTTTTATATTATAATTATCAGAGCCATACATTCAACAGTCATTTCACTCACTTCTTCAAAATCAGCATAAGCAAAGAACAGCAACATATTACTTTTCATCAATGTAGTAATTGACCTTTCATAGATGGCAGCAGCTTCATCTGCAAACATTTTCCCAGCATTTTGGTCCTGCAAAATGTATTTAGTAACTTCAAAATAATGTTATATCTTAATAATAATAATAATAATGATAATGATAATAAATTCTTTATTTAAAGAGGGTAAATACAGTTAATTACAACAAACTAATCTGCCCTGAGGCCCTCACATACAAATTACAATACAATCAAAAACAGATATTTACACATAGTTAATTTACAGTCAAGTAGTTCAATGTATCATTATTAACATGATAAGATATAAAACTGTTCAAGAGGTACATGTAGTAAATAATAAAAAAAAACTAAAATATATAGAAATAATAATAATACATTGTAGAAAAACAGAATCTTATAAAAGTGTTTTGGGCTTTACACATTATGTGTGGTAGTCCATTCCATAGCACTGATTTAGAATAAACAAAAGATTTCTTTCTTATAAAACTTATATTATGTTAGTTTCATATACTGTAAATTCAGAAATTCTTACATGTTTTTATTACTCGATAGGTTTCACAAAAATTTAAATTCACATTTTAAATTCGATAACAATAATTGTAAGCAGCATTTCCTGAAATTGTAATATAAAACTAAAATTTGTTTCCATGGTTCAAAAAACAGCAAACAGAAATTTCTGTTACATCAGACGAAATTAGCATGCTGACTTATATTCTATATTTAGTATCATTTCAAATTTGCAAAACTACAATTAATTGCAGCAATTGTTTCAATTGATTTATAAGAAGTTACATGAAATGGACAATTTTATCTTATACTTTAAAGAACCTTTGTGTGCACATGTTTTCAGCAATAATATAACTTGGATTATGACTAACAGTTACAAACAATAAGATGGGAAAGTGTTAACCTAAAAGTTAAGAAACCTTCAAACAAATCTAAATGAAAGGTCAATAGGTGGCCATGACATAATGGTTTTTGTCTCACATGTTAGAACATTTGTAAAACTATCATTCAAAACTTTCTCAATATAAAAATAGACATATCAAAATGTAAAAATGTGTGAATAATTTCAATACAAAAATGGAAATATCATACATGTGTGAATTAAATTTTTAAGTTATTATGACAATCCTTTTATCTAAATATCAATCATAATTACTTTAAGTTTTGACAAAGATTTTTTTTCCCTCATGAATAATAAAAGTATTGGCAAACCTTACCCCTTTTTCTGTTAAAATCCTACTTGAATGTTCCAAATATGATGCTGCTTCATACCAGATGTCAGGATGATGTCCCAGACAGAGTAAACACTGTTCATAAGCAAACATTACTGAAATATATTATACAGATCATTTCACTTCAGGGGTAACACTCAAAGAGTGGACAAAAATTATCTTGCTTTGATTTTTATTAGGGATGTCAATGAAAAATTAAAATACTCAAGTATCAGTCAGTATGTCCATGTATCAAATATGAAAATTACACTCCATTATTTTTACTTCGTTTTTTTTTAATTTTGAAGGTAGGAAAACAGTAGAATTCGGTTTGATTGACAGTCATAGTGTTTTATACCATTCTCACAATGTTTGGTACTGAAAGTGAGGTTTGATTGACAGCCATAGATTTTTTATATCATTCTCAGAATGTTTGGCACTGAAAATGTGGTTGATTGACAGCCATAGTTTTTTATACAATTTTCAGACTGTTTGATACTGAAAGTGAGGTTTGATTGACAGCCATAGATTTTTTATATCATTTTCAGACTGTTTTGTACTGAAATGAGGTTGATTGACAGCCACAGTTTTTATACCATTTTCAGACTGTTTGGCACTGAAAGTGAGGTTGAATGACAGCCATTTTTTATATCATTTTCAGACTGTTTAGTACTGAAAGCGAGGTTTGATTGAGGGCCATATTTTTTAAACCATTTTCAGACTGTTTTGTACTGAAAGTGAGCTTGTTTTTGCTGTACATAAAACAAGGACCGATACAATAATAAAACATGTTTTATATGTCAATTAGAAAGGTGTCGAAAATAATAAACTTCATTTCATTTCATTAGAATACAAAAGTTCTAGTACAAGTTCCTTTGATTCATTTTGAAGTAGGATTTTTTTATAACTGAATATAAAATAATAAAGAAAGATAAATTACCTCTTCTGGTTATAAGAGCATGGTCCTCTGTCTTCAAAGGATTACTTTTTTCCCATGAAATATACTTCTTCCACAAATCCACCTGAAAATTAGGTTTTTACATCTTTCAACAACAATTTAACTACTTGGAACTTAAAACTTCACAACCAAACTATTAGATTTTGAACTTTGTATTTCTTTATCCACTGCTTTTTTTCATTTATGATAACATATTTATATATATAATTATATTTTTAGTCACAACTTTTTATTAAATAAGCAAAAACTTATTAACATAATAAAATAATGTAACACTTTAATTCAACTTCAATGAGCCTTGATTTCAATTATGACAGAAATCATTACCAAGAAGTACAATTTGAAGATTATAATTTGTATGACATATTAAAGTTCCAATCAATTTAGTTCATGATTAGGGGGGAGATCTTTTCAAGACCCACCTGTGTAGCTTCTTCAGGTATATTCATTGGAGGTATGGATGGCATATTTTTATTTATTCCTCTCGTCACTGCCTCATATTCTTTAGCAACACGTCTAGAATTCATATATTCTCTACCTCTATCTTCTGTCATTTTCTTGGCAATCAGAGGATTAATACTCTGAAAATAGAAAATGAAGACTTTCATCATTCCATATAAAGAACATTGAGATGTTTATGAACTTTCTGCCTTGCATAAATAGAAATTTGGTTACTGTAAATTCAGAAATTATTGCGATGTTTTTATTATTGCGAAAAATGCGACAGAGTTATAATCGCAATAATTTGAACTCGCATTTTGAAATTTTTTATATGAATTTAACAGGAGTTTTCTCAATATCGCAGAAATTAAAATCGCATTTTAGTCTAAAATGACAAAATCGCAATAATAAATGCACGCAATAATTTCTGAATTTACAGTATTTGATTGGATTCAATGTAATTTATTACTGTAAAGTGGTTTATTTTCACTGAGTTTAAATTTCTATGTCCCAACCTGTCCTTGAGGTTCTATTTTCATGTTTTTCTTGTTCACTTCTTTATTTCAATATACATCAATTTTTCATGGAAGTCAGTTTTATTCCCAAAGTAAACGTAAGTATCCAGAATGAACTATAACTTTCAACATATAACTTTAACAAATTCTATTGTAAATGATAAACCGACTGCACCTCATCATCCCTCTGCAAATAACAGGATTGAATTCCTACATCTAGCAACAGTTAAGATAGAGAACAGTACTGAAAGCATTGTTCCTTTCATATATTTTATAGTAGTTTTCTAGTATTTCATGGATTAGTTGTGTCATGTAAAACCACCCCATATGCTGCTTCTTAAAACAATATCTGTAATAAATTGCCATACGTTTTCATAAGCACAATATTCCTTCCAGAATATTTCTATATTAATCATTGGATTGACAACTCCTCTCTGGTAGACCTTCCGTACAGCTGTTATTCTCTGGTTTTCTGCATATGATCCAACTGCTTCCCTGTAAAACAAGAAAATTATCATCAATTTATAAATAAGGAAATGTGGAATGATTGTCAGACTGATATATAAGACAATTCTTACCATAATTGCTGACTAAGTTAAAGCTGATTTATACACGCTTGTTTGGTTCATATTCATGCAGTAATTTATTTAGAATGGACAAGAGGCTGTCAGAGAAACAGCAAACTGGATTTTCCAGAAGAGATCGAACCCTGAACAGTTGAGCAAGTATGGACACAACATTTAAGCTTAAAACAGCTCTGAATTTTGATTGTGATTGAATATTTGATACAGCATGGGTTTGTGACACAAAATAAATGTGGTCAAAGAACTGAAAAATTTGAAATTGAACATTTACCTATTATGGTCCAATATCCAAAATCTAAGTACATATTAGAATCAGCATATCAAAGAAACCCAAGAATTCAATTTTTGATGAAATCAGACAAAAGTTTAATTTGGACCTCAATGTGGACCAATTTGATAAAGGAGCCCACAACCCAAAATCTCTCAATACATGGTTAGATTCAGCATTTCAAAGAACCCCATAAATTCAATTTTTGTTGAATCAAACAAAGTTTAATTTTGGACCCTGATTTGGACCAACTTGAAAACTGGGCCCAAAAATCTAATATTTAAATACAGGTTTAGATATCAGCATTTGAAAGAACCCTATATATATTTAACTTATGTTGAAATGAAACACAGGTTAATTTTATCCATAATATTTTCTGTGCAAAGGGAAATAACTCAAACTGGATAAATAGTTTTCTAAAATAAGATATGATGCAATTTTTCAAATTATAATCAATAATATAATAACAACAATCAGTGATGACTAAGTTCTCTAAAATTAGATATGGTTTAACACTCAAACATTGTTAGAATCAGCATATCAAAGAACCAAAGAATTCAATTTTTGATGAAATTAAACAAAAGTTTAATTTAGGCCCCTTTGGACCCCAATGCGGTATTATCTTATTAATAATGAAAAGAAACTTGAAAACTGGGCACAAAATCAGAAATCTAAATATATCAAAAAAAAATATATAGCATTCAGAAAATTAAGTTTTTACAGAATAACAAACAAACTTGCCACAAAATTCTTCAAACAATTTACCAAAGACAAGAAGAAAAAAATCTGAAATTTCATTTATCATTAATACAATGTCTTTTCAAAATCTATACTCGCCCTTTATTTCATATGATTTGTTTTTCTGTCCCATACAAGAATATATATGATTTAGGGGTGGGGATCTCAACCATTTACAAGTTCTTAAACAGGAGGGGGTGGGGGTGACCCCAGGGGACTCGCCTTTTATTTCATTTGATTTGTTTTATTGTCCCATACAAGAATATATATGGTTTCAGGGAGAGGATCTTGACCGTTTACAAGTTTTCAAAAAGAAGGGGGGGTGGGGGTTACCCAAGGGGACTTCCCCTAAATTTCATTTGATTTGTTTTATTGTCCCATACAAGAATATATATGGTTTAGGGGTGGGGATCTCGTCTGTTTACAAGTTTTCAAAAAGAAGGGGGTGGGGTATACCCCCGTGGACTTCCCCTGTATTTCATTTAATTTGTTTTATTGTCCCATACAAGAATATATATGGTTTCAGGGTGGGGATCTTGACAGTTTACAAGTTTTCAAAAAGAAGGGGGGTGGGGGTTACCCCCATGGACTTCCCCTATATTTCATTTGATTTGTTTTATTTTCCCATACAAGAATATATATGGTTTAGGGGTGGGGATCTCGACCGTTTACAAGTTCTCAAACAGGAGGGGTGGGGGTGACCCCAGGGGACTCGCCTTTTATTTCATTTGATTTGTTTTATTGTCCCATACAAGAATATATATGGTTTCGGGGTGGGGATCTTGACCATTTACAAGTTTTCAAATAGAAGGGGGTGGGGGTGACCCCCTGGACTTCCCCTAAATTTCATTTGAGTTGTTTTATTGTCCCATACAAGAATATATATGGTTTAGGGGTGGGGATCTCGACTGTTTACAAGTTTTCAAAAAGAAGGGGGTGAGGGTTACCTCCGTGGACTTCCCCTATATTTCATTTAATTTGTTTTATTGTCCCATACAAGAATATATATGGTTTCGGGGTGGGGATCTTGACAGTTTACAAGTTAACAAAAAGAAGGGGGGTGGGGGTTACCCCTATGGAATTCCCCTATATTTCATTTGATTTGTTTTATTGTCCCATACAAGAATATATATGGTTTCAGGGTGAGGATCTTGACCGTTTACAAGTTTTCAAATAGAAGGGGGTGGGGGTTACCCAAGGGGACTTCCCCTAAATTTCATTTGATTTGTTTTATTGTCCCATACAAGAATATATATGGGTTTCGGGGTTGGGATCTTGACCGTTTACAAGTTTTCAAAAAGAAGGGGGGTGGGGGTGGCCCCCCTGGACTTCCCCTATATTTCATTTGATTTGTTTTATTGTCCCATACAAGAATATATATGGTTTCGGGGTGGGGATCTTGACAGTTTACAAGTTAACAAAAAGAAGGGGGGTGGGGGTTACCCCTATGGAATTCCCCTATATTTCATTTGATTTGTTTTATTGTCTCATACAAGAATATATATGGTTTCAGGGTGAGGATCTTGACCGTTTACAAGTTTTCAAAAAGAAGGGGGGGTGGGGGTTACCCAAGGGGACTTCCCCTAAATTTCATTTGATTTGTTTTATTGTCCCATACAAGAATATATATGGGTTTCGAAGTTGGGATCTTGACCGTTTACAAGTTTTCAAAAAGAAGGGGGGTGGGGGTGACCCCCCTGGACTTCCCCTATATTTCATTTGATTTTTTTTATTGTGCCATACAAGAATATATATGGTTTCAGGGTGGGGATCTTGACAGTTTACAAGTTATCAAAAAGAAGGGGGTGGGGGTTACCCCCATGGACTTCCCCTATATTTCATTTGATTTGTTTTATTTTCCCATACAAGAATATATATGGTTTAGGGGTGGGGATCTCGACAGTTTACAAGTTCTCAAACAGGAGGGGTGGGGGTGACCCCAGGGGACTCGCCTTTTATTTCATTTGATTTGTTTTATTGTCCCATACAAGAATATATATGGTTTCGGGGTGGGAATCTTGACCGTTTACAAGTTTTCAAATAGAAGGAGGTGGGGTTGACCCCCCTGGACTTCCCCTAAATTTCATTTGAGTTGTTTTATTGTCCCATACAAGTATATATATGGTTTAGGGGTGGGGATCTTGACTGTTTACAAGTTTTCAAAAAGAAGGGGGGTGAGGGTTACCTCCGTGGACTTCCCCTATATTTCATTTAATTTGTTTTATTGTCCCATACAAGAATATATATGGTTTCGGGGTGGGGATCTTGACAGTTTACAAGTTAACAAAAAGAAGGGGGGTGGGGGTTACCCCTATGGAATTCCCCTATATTTCATTTGATTTGTTTTATTGTCCCATACAAGAATATATATGGTTTCAGGGTGAGGATCTTGACCGTTTACAAGTTTTCAAATAGAAGGGGGTGGGGGTTACCCAAGGGGACTTCCCCTAAATTTCATTTGATTTGTTTTATTGTCCCATACAAGAATATATATGGGTTTTGGGGTTGGGATCTTGACCGTTTACAAGTTTTCAAAAAGAAGGGGGGTGGGGGTGACCCCCCTGGACTTCCCCTATATTTCATTTGATTTGTTTTATTGTCCCATACAAGAATATATATGGTTTCGGGGTGGGGATCTTGACAGTTTACAAGTTAACAAAAAGAAGGGGGGTGGGGGTTACCCCTATGGAATTCCCCTATATTTCATTTGATTTGTTTTATTGTCTCATACAAGAATATATATGGTTTCAGGGTGAGGATCTTGACCGTTTACAAGTTTTCAAAAAGAAGGGGGGGGGTGGGGGTTACCCCCATGGACTTCCCCTATATTTCATTTGATTTGTTTTATTTTCCCATACAAGAATATATATGGTTTAGGGGTGGGGATCTCGACAGTTTACAAGTTCTCAAACAGGAGGGGTGGGGGTGACCCCAGGGGACTCACCTTTTATTTCATTTGATTTGTTTTATTGTCCCATACAAGAATATATATGGTTTCGGGGTGGGGATCTTGACCGTTTATAAGTTTTCAAATAGAAGGAGGTGGGGTTGACCCCCCTGGACTTCCCCTAAATTTCATTTGAGTTGTTTTATTGTCCCATACAAGAATATATATGGTTTAGGGGTGGGGATCTCGACTGTTTACAAGTTTTCAAAAAGAAGGGGGGTGAGGGTTACCTCCGTGGACTTCCCCTACATCATTTAATTTGTTTTATTGTCCCATACAAGAATATATATGGTTTCGGGGTGGGGATCTTGACAGTTTACAAGTTAACAAAAAGAAGGGGGGTGGGGGTTACCCCTATGGAATTCCCCTATATTTCATTTGATTTGTTTTATTGTCCCATACAAGAATATATATGGTTTCAGGGTGAGGATCTTGACCGTTTACAAGTTTTCAAAAAGAAGGGGGGGTGGGGGTTACCCAAGGGGACTTCCCCTAAATTTCATTTGATTTGTTTTATTGTCCCATACAAGAATATATATGGGTTTCGGGGTTGGGATCTTGACCGTTTACAAGTTTTCAAAAAGAAGGGGGGTGGGGGTGACCCCCCTGGACTTCCCCTATATTTCATTTGATTTGTTTTATTGTCCCATACAAGAATAAATATGGTTTCAGGGTGGGGATCTCGACCGTTTACAAGTTCTCAAAAAGAAGGGGGGGTGGGGGTGAACCCGGGGTCTCCCCTAATATTTCATTTGATTTTTTTTATTGTCCCATAGAAGAAGATATATGGTTTAGGGGTGGGGATCTCGACCGTTTAGAAGATGAAAGCACTTTCTCAAATTGAAGGGGGGTAGGGGTAGGAATATATATGGTTTAGGGAGACTTAATTATCTACAAAATTTCTAATAATGAACAGTAAATTTCAAACTTCATTTATACAGTCCTACTAGAAAATTTCAAACTTTATATATACAGTCCTACAGATCTTATCAGGAAACAGAAAATTTTCAAATAAATCTGTCACTCCAATGATTATCATATGCTTAGATATTTCCCAGATCTAATTATAATGAAATCATACTTGCAAATCTGAAGGGTTATTTCCCTTTGAAAAGAACTATGGTTTAACATAGTACTCTAACATTACATATATATCTTATAATCATCACCACTTAGGAAATAGAAAATTTTCAAATAAATCTGTCACTCCAATTTTTATTGTGAGATAAGAAATTTACCATAATATGATAACAAGAGAAAAATATTTTAAAATACCACTTTTGGATATTAAAAATGGTGATAACTCAAAAAGGAGAAATACTAAAATCATGAAAATTGAACTTGACCTTCATTTAGTCACAAGAAACAACATATCTAAATTTGAAAAAAAATCATCACAGCCTTTTCATGTTATTGAAGAGACACTGTTTGGCAGCACCCATCGTACATCCCCAAATCAATAACCGATATTTCCTTCGAAAATCCGGTTAGTTAATAATGAAAATCATACTTGCAAATCTGAAGGGTTATTTCCCTTTGAACAGAATTATGGTTTAACATAGAACTCTAACATTATATATATAATTATTAGTAATGTAATTATCTTCAAAGTGTCTAATAATGAACAGTAAATTTCAAACTTCATTTATAGTCCTACTAGTAAATTTCAAACTTTATATATACAGTCCTACAGATCTTATCAGGAAACAGAAAATTTTCAAATAAATCTGTCACTCCAATTATTATCATGCTAAGATATTTCCCAGATCTAATTAATAATGAAAATAATACTTGCAAATCTGAAGGGTTATTTCCCTTTGAACAGAACTATGGTTTAACATAGTATTCTAACATTACATATATAATAATTAGTAATGTAATTAACTTCAAAATGTCTAATAATATAGCTTATAATCATCACCACTTAGGAAATAGAAAATTTTCAAATAAATCTGTCACTCCAATTATAATTGTGAGATAAGACATTTACCATATTCTTATGATTACAAGAGAAAAATATTTAAAAATACAACTTTTGGATATTAATAAACTGTTAACACAGAGATATGTCTCGCCTATTTGTTATTTTGATAATGCAAATGTTGAAATTAAAATTACAATACTTTAACATGTAAGTTATGCAAATATTCAAAGTCAATGAACCATGACTGAATGTACAGGGCTAAACAGTCTCCATGGAAATGAGATGTGCCAATGCTAATGCAACTGCAAACCAAATACCATTGACTTTTCATAAGTCGTTCCCTTTAAACAAACCTAAACACAAACATTAACTTGTAAACTATGTAAAAGTTTCAAAGTCAATGAACCATGATTAGGGGGTAGGGTTATATAATCTCCATGGAAATGAAACTTGCAAATGCCAATACATTTGCATACCGAATATCATTGACTTAACATTAGTGGTTCATCTTAAACTGACCTAATCACAAACTAATACATGTAAACTAAGCAAAAGTTTCAAAGTCAATAGACCATGACTGAGAAGTAAGGACCAAATATTCTCCATGGAAATAAGATGTGCTAATGCTTCTACAACTGCATACCAATTATCATTGACCTACCACTAACGGTTCCCCTTAAACTGACAAACTAATACATGTAAACTAAGCAAAAGTTTCAAAGTCAATAGACCTTGACTGAGGGGGTGGGGCCAAATAATCTCCATGGTAATGAGATGTGCCAATGCTAATACAACTGCATACCAAGTATCATTGACCTACCACTAGTGGTTCACCATGAACTAGACTTAATCACAAACTAATACATGTAAACTAAGCAAAGTTTCAAAGTCAATAGACCTTGACTGAGGGGGTGGGGCCAAATAATCTCCATGGTAATGAGATGTGCCAATGCTAATACAACTGCATACCAAATATCATTGACCCACAACTAGTGGTTCACCATGAACTAGACCTAATCACAAACTAATACATTGTTGACGCCGCAGCAGCCGCCGGAAATAGCATACCTATGTCTCGCTTTTTGACTCCGTCAAGGCGAGACAAAAATGGCAATAACTCAAAAAGGAGAAATACTACAATCGTGAAAATTGAACTTGACCTTCATTTAGTCACGAGAAACAACACATCTAAATTTGAAAAAAAATCATCACAGCGTTTTCATGTTATTGAAGAGACACTGTTTGGCAGCTGCCCGCCCGCCGTACATCCCCAAATCAATAACCGATATTTCCTTCGAAAAGTTGTTATGACTTTCAAGGAGGTAAATCTTAACAATATAGCACCTCAGTAGAATGACTGCTTGGTTGATTAATTGTCAGGCATCATCCAGCAGTGATTATCACATGTACATATATATATTCTGGATGTGAGCTTGATAGTGAAATACTTTGTTGTAGACCCTCAACCTGATATTTAACAGGCTGTATTTAGAGGATGACATGTCGCTCTTCTCAAATACACTGGTTTTGGATAGGACCAGTTTTTGTTGTTACTCCTAAATGTTACATACTTTGTAAAGAAGCAGCAAATGCCACTTCTAAAGTTTTTTGGTCACACAAGGTCAAATACCAGACCAATGATCTCCATTACTTGAAACATGCACATTACTGCAGGATTTTTGAGGGGCTATCACTAAAGAATGCACCATAGGTATCTTTAAGCATCAGATTTCAATAGGAGTGTAAAAATAAGCTAGAATAAAAATGCTAATTGTTAACTTTTGTACAAATATATACTTACACAGATTTAAGAAAATTAACATAGTCAGCCCATATCTGATAGGACATAATATCCATTCCCATCTTGTCTAAAGCAAAGTCGTATGCCTGGGCCATCTTTTCTCTGAAATAAGTAATATATCACAAAATTCATAACAGAATATAATCAAAACACAATATCCAATGTATTGTTGACGGATTTATTTTAGAATAAATGGGGAATGTGTCCACGGGACACAGATGATACCCCCGCTTGCATATACCGTTAAAAAGGGACATAACTCATGAACTGTAAAAGTGACGCTACCCAAATTTGTACTTGATCTGAGTTTTGTGGTAATAAGCATTGTGTATTTGTTTCATAACATTTAGTTGAGGCAAACTTAAGTTAGAGAACGGAAATGCAATTTTTCCATATGTAAAGGGGCATTACTCTAGAACGGTAAAAGTGACGCCACCAAAATTCGAATTTGATCTGTGTTTTGTGGTAATTAGCATTATGCACAAGTTTCATAACATTTAGTTGAGGCAAACTAAAGTTAGAGAACAGAAACAAATATTTCAGCAATTTTTCCATTTGTAAAGGGTCATAACTCTAGAATGGTCAAAATGACGCCACCAAAATTCGGTTTGATCTGTGTTTTGTGGTAATAAGCATTGTGTATAAAATTCATAACATTTGGTTGAGGCAAACTTAAGTTAGAGAACGGAAACCAATTTTGGGACGTCTGTACGGGGCGTACGTATTAACGTACAGACAGACAAGGGTAAAACTTTATGCTCCCTCCACTACGGCGGGGGCATAAAAATGTGTTCTTGTTAACTGTTTGCAATTTTCACCTTTTGTCTGTTTCTTTTTAACTTTTCACTAGTTATAGAAACATGTTGTGTTTAACATTGAATATGCAAAACAAAATCTCAACTTTAATAGTCACAATTAAAACAGAACATCGACATTAATAGTTCTTATTTGTTTTCAAAGTAAAGTTCGTACGAACCCCTCGAACTCCCCTGGCTACGGGCCTGAACATATACTATAAACAACTGTTGTACTGACTATCAGGCTATAAGCTCTGCCTACTCATGTGCTTAAACTATTGATTGATGATTCAAATGCATACTAATAAAAACAGCTGTTAAGTAATGACAATCAGGCAATAAAAGGCTTTTTCCAGATATTTTATTTCAACTGTATGCCAAAATAAAGAATATGTTTTTAACCTATAACATGAATTCTAATTATCTCAGAACATTCTTACAGAAAGAAGGATAAAATTAATTATGATGAATTACCTGTAAGATGGAAGTGAACCCTTGGTATCTTTGATGTAGTTCAGATACAGCTTCCAAAGGTCTATGTTTAATACTTTTACTAAACATCTTTGAAATAACTGAAAAATAACAAAAGCATATAAAAGGTCATCATAAATTTTGAAAAAAAATGTAACGCTCATATTGGACTTACAAGGACATGTCATTTTACCATGACATGATGAATCTTTAACTGTTTGGGGTTTTTTTTACACACTGATTTGACTGTTTTTCTCTCTGTTAAACTGTCAATATAACACCTGAGCCAATTGAAGTTTAATTGGTTTCAAATATCAAAAACCAAACTGTTTAATTGGTAAAAAACATTAAAAACCCAAACTGTTTAATTCATAAGAAATATTAAAAACCAGTTTAATTGGGAAGAAATGTGGCAAAACTATCCAGACAAGGCTACAACGAAGTCTCCTGTCCATAGTCAGCAGCCTATATTTCAGTGGTTGTTGTTTGATGCAGTGTATCATATGTGTTTTTCGTTCATTATTTTGTACATAAATTAGCCCATTAAGTTTCTCATTTGAATTGTTTTACATTTGTCATTTCGGGGCCTTTTATAGCTGACTGTGGTATGGTTTTGCTCATTGTTGAAGGCTGTACGGTGACCTATAGTTGTTAATTTCTGTGTCATTTGATCTCTTGTAGAGAGTTGTCTCATTGGCAATCATACAACATCTTCTTATTCTATATTCAATATACATGTAGGCAAGGCATGTAGGTATAAAGCTAACTTACTACAGACATGACATCCATAGTCAATACAACATTAAATAGAAAAGTGAAAGATACCACAAAGCCTCACTGTGACTTTAATATGAAGAACAGTAATAAAAGCACTGTCATCTTTGTGTTTAATCAAGATTTTATACAATGAACTAATACATAAACTATATGCTTTCTTTTCCAACCATTACACCACTTGTTAAGTCCAATGAGAAAGGAAAATCTATATTATTCTTCATCATCTAATATCAAGTTCTTTAACTCTCTTTTAATGTTTTTGGATAAAAAGGGGGAACATAATTTTTCTTTAAATGGGGCGACCCACCAATCACCTGTTCTGTGTAAATAAGGTTTTTATTTGTAGCAAAATGTGAGTAATCATTTACACATCTTTAATATTGCTGATTTTCTACATGGGAAAAAAGGAGAGTATATTGGATTATCTCCCATTGACACTTGGGTAATAAAGTAATAATTTAGATAAAAATTCTCAATACAAAATAAAGTCTTAGATTAGTTTTCCTTTTAAGGAGTAGATATTATCAAAAAAAAATTACAGTAAAAACTAAAACCTTGGCAATTTTAGAGAAATATTACTTTCCCTCTGTACCTGAATCATGATCAATCATGGTAAACCATCAATCGCAACAGTCAACAGACAGTGGGTATCAAGTCTATAGGATTGTATGTATGCCATATATTCCTTCAAAGTACTTCTAAAACATCCATGATTTGATTGTAGCTCTCCATGAGAAGTTCCCACATCTTTTTACTTATTTGGAGCTAGTTTGTTTTATATTTATAGATGCTCTATATGGTTAATTTGCAATCAAAATTTCATAAAATCAATGAGATTTAACATTTCCTTTACATATACATTTCCTATTTTCCTACCTTTTCTACTCTTTCAAAATTCTTTGCCTTTAGCTGTAAAATAAAGAGGTGCATTTACGTAAAAATGTCATTTTCAAGCAGTTGTATTTCTTCTGTTTATAACATTTATATAACTAAAATAAGAGCTTGATCTGGATTTATTTGTAAAGCTCCTTTCCAACTGTATAATTTGATTTGCCCCAAAGTTGGTCATCAGGTGCAAAAAGCGTGATTTTTGACGATTTTTCATCCTATTTCTTGACCCCCAAAGACCGAGGATGCTGATATAGGTATCCAGCTGTAGTCTGCATGTACAGTGGACCCCAGTAAACACATTAACCCCAACAGTTCTTAGGTTAGAGTGAAACTGATCTGGGAACACCAGTCTAAAGAAGGTCATTTGGACAAAAAATACGGAATTTCACGATTTTTTCCGATTTTGGACTTCAACTGGACCTGAAACCGGAAGTAGTCGTTTCCTCTGCGTATTTCAATAATAATTCTGATCAGTAGATATATGCCTGCGGGTTTACACTATTTTTGAAAGTTTTAGGCCTCTGAACTTCCTGTGTAAGACACAGAAGGGAAGCCCACACCTCCAGAAAAACCAGTTTTATCCGATTTCAATTTTCCAAGTTCGTATTTGAGCTCAAAATGCTACTTAAACATGAGAAACATGAGGGAACATGCATCAAATTTCGAAATAAGTATCATAAAGTTGACCTCTAAAAGTATGGAGAGCCATTAGAGCCAAATAACGGTGGTCTGGGTCATCCCGTCATATGAGGGGCTCAGCATGGTTAGGGTTAACATTCATTAAATGTGACAAATTTAAAATAAACTTGAACAGAATAGAACAAGAGTGCACACGCTGAAATGTATCGCTGCTTTACTGACCATTGTGTTTATGTTGATAGTCCTAAATAAAAAGCTTTACTACAAGTATCACATAAACTTAACATGATCCAAGGAAGTGAGGTCAAGGTTAGATAAACCAAACCAGAAATTCATGTACATCTTACAATCATTCCATACACCAAATATAGTTGACCTATTGCTTATAGTTTCTAAGAAACAAACTTAACCAAGAAAACTTAACATTGACCAATGAACCATGAAAATGAGGTCAAGGTCAGATGAACCATGCCAGACAGACATGTACACCTTACAATCAATCTATGCATTAAATATAATTGACCTATTGCTTATAGTATCTTAGAAACAAACTTAACCATGAAAACTTAACATTGACCAATGAACCATGAAAATGAGGTCAAGGTCAGATGATACCTGCCAGACAGACATATACACCTTACAATCATTCCAAACACCAAATATAGTCGACCTATTGCTTTCAGTTTAAGAAAAACAGACCAAAACACAAAAAATAACACTGATCAATGAACCGTGAAAATGAGGTCAAGGTCAAATAAAATCTGCCAGACTGACATGTACATCATAAAATATTTCCATACACCAAATATAGTTGACCTATTGCATAAAGTATTAGAAACCAAAAAGTCTCCCAAACTAAGCTCCCATAATTCTTAATTTCCAGGGTCGCCTGACATTGGGCAAAGTCCAGTAAAAATTGGTTTGGTCCAGAAAGTTATATGCATTAGTGATGCCTGGGGACTAACCCTGTATATCATTCAAATCATCTTGGCATGACAAACCTGAATATATGGTTAAGGGGTGGGGATCTCGACCATTTACAAGATACTAGAATATTGGGGGTGGGGGGAACCCTTGGGGACTGACCCTATACGTCATTCAAATGTTCGAGACATGATGAACAGGAATATATATGGTTTAGGGGTGGGGATCTTGACCATTTACAAGATATTAGAACTTTCTCAAATGGCAGGGGGTCAGGATGACCCCTGGGGACTAACCCTGTATATCATTCAAACCATCTTCGCATGACAAACCAGAATATATATGGTTTTGGGGTGGGGATCTTGACCATTTACAAGATACTAGAACATAGGGGGTGGGGGGAACCCTGGGGACTGACCCTAAACGTCATTCAAATGTTTCGAGAAATGATGAACAGGAATATATATGGTTTAGGGGTGGGGATCTTGACCATTTACAAGATATTAGAACTTTCTCAAATGGCGGGGGGTCAGGATGACCCCTGGGGACTAACCCTGTGTATCATTCAAACCATCTTTGCATGACAAACCTGAATATATATGGTTTAGGGGTGGGGATCTCGACCATTTACAAGATACTAGAACATAGGGGGGGGGGGGGGGGGGAACCCCTGGGGACTGACCCTATACCTCATTCAAATGTTTGAGACATGACAAAACAGGAATATATATGGTTTAGGGGTGGGGATCTTGACCATTTACAAGATATTAGAACTTTCTTAAATCATAAAATGGCAGGGGGTGGGGGTGACCCCTGGGGACTAACCCTGTATTTCATTTGATGTGCTTTATCATGACAAACCAGAATATATATGGTTTAGGGGTGGGGATCTGGACCATTTACAAGATATTAGAACTTTCTAAAATGGCAGGGGTAGGGACTAACCCTGTATATCATTCAAACTATCTAAGCATGAAAAACCAGAATATATATGGTTTAGGGGTGGGCATCTTGACTACTTACAAGATATTAGAACTTTCTTAAATGGCAGGGGGTGGGGGTGACCCCTGGGGACTAAACCTGTATTTCATTTGATGTGCTTTATCATGACAAACCAGAATATATATGGTTTAGGGGTGGGGATCTTGACCATTTACAAGATATTAGAACTTTCTCAAATGGCAGGGGGTCGGGATGACCCCTGGGGACTAACCCTGTATATCATTCAAACCATCTTAGCATGACAAACCAGAATATATATGGTTTAGGGGTGGGGATCTTGACCACTTACAAGGTATTAGAACTTTCTTAAATGGCAGGGGGTGGGGGTGACCCCTGGGGACTAACCCTGTATTTCATTTAATGTGCTTTATCATTTAGGACATTTTCAATTAAAAAGATTGTTTCTATCACAAACGGTTTTCAATTTATAATCATTTGAAAATTTAAAAAAATAAAATCCCATAGGGTTCTATAGTAAAACCTTCCTTTCTTTTTGCCCCTCAAAGTACCCCTTTATAAACCCTATTGCACAAACAAAACCCTGTTTGCACCACTAGACATGTTAGTCTAACATATTGTGAAACACTAAGTTAACCTGACAAGCAGTTTTGGAGAACGGGTGCAAACAAGTTCTAATCTAAAAGCGGCGGAAGAGGAAGAGGAAGAAGAAGAAGAAGAATAATAATAAGAAGAACTGAGCAAAACCAATGTCTTCTCAAACTTCGTTTGGGAGACTTAAGTTTGGGAGACTTAATAAGGTTGAAATCATAATTAATAGTTTTAGATATTAGATATTATAATTAAATCTAAGATAATAACAAAAAACTGCAAAATTTTTGTAAAATTACTAACTCAGGGGCAGCAACCCAACAGCGGGTTGTCAGATTCGTCAGAATATTTCAGGGCAGATAAATCTAAATCTGATGAACATTTTTGCCACCTGTCAGATTTGCTCTAAATGCTTTAGTTTCAGAGATATAAACCAAAAACTGCATTTTACCCCTATGTTCTATTTTTAACCAAGTCGGCCATGATGGTTGGAAGGCGGGGTCATTGGACAAATTTTTTAAACTAGATACCCTAATAATGATTATGGCCAAGTATGGTTAAATTTGTCTCAGTAGTTTCAGAGAAGAAGACTCTTGTAAAAGATTACAAAAATTACGAAAAATTGTTAAAAATTGACTATTAAGGGCAATAACTCCTAAAGGGGTCGACTGACAATTTTGGTCATGACAACTTATTTGTAGATCTTACTTTGCTGAACATTATTGCTGTTTACAGTTTATCTCTATCTATAATAATATTCAAGATAATAACCAAAAACTGCAAAATTTCCTTAAAATTACCAATTCAAGGGCAGCAACCCAACAACTGGTTGTCAGATTTGTCTGAAAATTTCAGGGCAGATAGATCTTGACCTGATAATCAGTTTTACCCTATGTCAGATTTACTCTAAATGCTTTGGTTTCAGAGATATAAGCCAAAATCTACATTTTACCCATATGTTCTAATTTTTAGCCATGGCGGCCATCTTGGTTGGTTGGCGGGGTCATCGGACACATTTTTTAAACTAGTTACCCTAATAATGATTGTGGCTAAGTTTGGTTTAATTTGGCCCAGTGGTTTCAGAGGAGAAGATTTTTGTAAAAAGCTAACGACGACGGACGACGGAAGACGGACACCAAGTGATGAGAAGAGCTAAAAATGACCAAAATACAACAAGAGTGCACATGCTGAAATGTCTCGCCTTCTTTACTAATCATTGATATTATGTTGATAGTCCTAAATATAAAGCTTTATTACAACTGTCACATAAACTTAACATTAACCAAGTAAACTAAACATTGACCAATGAACCATGAAAATGAGGTCAAGGTCAGATGAACCATGTTAGGCAGGCATGTACAGCTAACAATTCTTCCATACAACAAATATAGTTGACCTATTGCTTATAGTTTAAGAAAAACAGACCAAAACACAAAAACTTAACACTGAGCAATGAACCTTGAAAATGAGGTCAAGGTCAAATAAAACCTGTGTGACTGACATTTAGATCATAAAATATTTCCATACACCAAATATAGTTGAACTATTGCATATAGTATTAGAAAAAAAGACCAAAACTCAAAACTTAACTTTGACCACTGAACCATGAAAATGAGGTCAAGGCCAGATGACACCTGCCAGCTAGTCATGTACACCTTACAATCATTCCATACACCAAATAAAGTAGACCTATTGCATACAGTATTAGAAAAAAAGACCAAAACTCAAAAACTTAACTTTGACCACTGAACCATGAAACTGAGGTCAAGGTCAGATGACACCTGCCAGCTAGACATGTACACCTTACAATCATTCCATACACCAAATATAGTAGACCTATTGCATACAGTATAAGAAAAACAAACCAAAACACAAAAACTTAACTATAACCACTGAACCATGAA